ATCACCATCGTCACCGGCGCGACACCTTGATCTCCATCGTAGCATCGTTGTCGTTTACGCCATCTATTGCTTCTACGACTATCGCTACCACTTAGTGATAAAGTAAAGCAATTACAGGGCGTTTGCATTTCATACAATAAAGCGACAACCATATGGCTCCTGCCAGTTGCCGATAACTTCGGTTACAAAACATGATCATCTCATACAATAAAATATAGCATCACGTCTTGGCCATATCACATCACAACATGCCCTGCAAAAACAAGTTAGACGTCCTCTACTTTGTTGTTGCAAGTTTTACGCGGCTGCTACGGGCTTAAGCTAGAACCAATCTCACCTACGCATCAAAACCACAACGATAGTTTGTCAAGTTGATGCTGTTTTAACCTTCGCAAGAACCGGGCGTAGCCACACTCGGTTCAACTAAAGTTGGAGAAACTGACACCCGCTAGTCACCTGTGTGCAAAGCACGGCGGTAAAACCAGTCTCGCATAAGCGTACGCGTAATGTCGGTCCGGGCCGCTTCATCCAACAATACCGCCGAACCAAAGTATGACATGCTGGTAAGCAGTATGACTTATATCGCCCACAACTCACTTGTGTTCTACTCGTGCATATAACATCAAACCATAAAACCTAGGCTCGGATGCCACTGTTGGGGAACGTAGTAATTTCAAAAAAAATTCCTACGCACACGCAAGATCATGGTGATGGCATAGCAACGAGAGGGGAGAGTGTCCGTCCACGTACCCTCTTAGACCGTAAGCGGAAGTGTTAGCACAACGCGGTTGATGTAGTCGTACGTCTTCACGATCCGACCGATCCAAGCACCGAACGTACGGGGCCTCCGAGTTCAGCACACGTTCAGCTCGATGACGATCTCCGGCCTCCGATCCAGCGAAGCTCCGGAGATGAGTTCCGTCAGCACGATGGCGTGGTGACGATGTTGATGTTCTACCGTCGCAGGGCTTCGCCTAAACTCCGCGACGATATGACCGAGGTGGAATATGGTGGAGGGGGCACCGCACACGGCTAAGGAACGATCCGTAGATCAACTTGTGTGTCTATGGGGTGCCCCCCCCCCCGCCCCCATATATAAAGGAGCAAGGGGGAGGCCGGCCGGCCCCTTGGGCGCGCCAAGTGAGGAGGAATCCTCCTCCTAGTAGGAGTAGGACTCCTCCTTTCCTACTCCTACTAGGAGGGGGAAGGAAGGGGAGAGGGGGAAGGAAAGGGGGGGCGCCCCCCCTCCTAGTCCAATTCGGACCAGAGGGGGAGGGGGCGCGCGGCCCATGCTGGCCGCCCCTCTCTTCCTTCCCCTAAGGCCCATAAGGCCCAATACTCTCCCGGGGGGTTCCGGTAACCCCCCCGGCACTCCGGTTTTCTCCGAAATCACCCGGAACACTTCCGGTGTCCGAATATAGTCGTCCAATATATCAATCTTTATGTCTCGACCATTTCGAGACTCCTCGTCATGTCCGTGATCACATCTGGGACTCTGAACAAACTTCGGTACATCAAAACTTATAAACTCATAATAAAATTGTCATCATAACGTTAAGCGTGCGGACCCTACGGGTTCAAGAACTATGTAGACATGACCTAGAACCATTCTCGGTCAATAACCAATAGCGGGACCTGGATGCCCATATTGGTTCCTACATATTCTACGAAGATCTTTATCGGTCAAACCGCATAACAACATACGTTGTTCCCTTTGTCATCGGTGTGTTACTTGCCCGAGATTTGATCGTCGGTATCCAATACCTAGTTCAATCTCGTTACCGGCAAGTCTCTTTACTTGTTCCGTAATACATCATCTTATAACTAACTCATTAGTTACAATGGTTGCAAGGCTTAGGTGATGAGTATTACCGAGAGGGCCCAGAGATACCTCTCCGACAATCGGAGTGACAAAACCTAATCTCGAATTATGCCAACCGAACATGTACCTTCGGAAACACCTGTAGAGCACCTTTATAATCACCCAGTTACGTTGTGACGTTTGGTAGCACACAAAGTGTTCTTCTGGTAAACGGGAGTTGCACAGTCTCATAGTTGCAGGAACTTTGTATAAGTCATGAAGAAAGCAATCGCAATATACTAAATGATCAAGTGCTAGGCTAACGGAATGGGTCATGTCAATCACATCATTCTCCTAATGATGTGATCCCATTAATCAAATGACAACACATGTCTATGGTTAGGAAACATAACCATCTTTGATTAATGAGCTAGTCAAGTAGAGGCATACTAGTGACTATATGTTTGTCTATATATTCACATATGTATCATGTTTCCGGTTAATACAATTCTAGCATGAATAATAAACATTTATCATGATATGAGGAAATAAATAATAACTTTATTATTGCCTCTAGGGCATATTTCCTTCACTCTCGAGCGGTAGTACCGCTTAAGCTGTTAAGCGGTAGTACCGCTGGCCCAGCGGTAGTACCGTTCTCTGCGGGGCTGGTGGGGGGGGTAACGGTTGGATTGTTCCCCCCACTATATAAGTGGGACTTCTTCTCCAAAGTTGACCTACCTCTTCCCCCAAAAGCTCCATTGTTGCTCCAAGCTCCATTTTCGCCCGATCTCTTCCTAGCCAATCAAACTTGTTGATTTGCTCGGGATTGGTTGAGAAGGCCCCGATCTACACTTCCACCAAGAGAAATTTGATTCCCCCACTAATCCCTAGCGGATCTTGTTACTCTTGGGTGTTTGAGCACCCTAGACGGTTGAGGTCACCGTGAAGCCATAATCCATTGTGGTGAAGCTTCGTGGTGTTGTTGGGAGCCTCCAATTAAGTTGTGGAGATTGCCCCAACCTAGTTTGTAAAGGTTCGGTCGCCGCCTTCAAGGGCACCAATAGTGGAATCACGGCATCTTGCATTGTGCGAGGGCGTGAGGAGAATACGGTGGCCCTAGTGGCTTCTTGGGGAGCATTGTGCCTCCACACTGCTCTAACGGAGACGTACTTCCCCTTAAAAGGAAGGAACTTCGGTAACACATCCTCGTCTCCACCGGCTCCACTCTTGGTTATCTCATACCTTTACTTTTGCAAGCTTATTTGTGTTATATCCTTTGCTTGCTTGTGTGCTTGTTGTTGTGGCATCATATAGGTTGCTCACCTAGTTGCATTTTTAGGCAACCTACTTTGTTGCAAAGTTTAATTTGGTAAAGAAAAGCTAAAAATTGTTAGTTGCCTATTCACCCTCCCCCCTCTAGTCAACTATATCGATCCTTTCATCAGCGAACCGAAAGAGCGCCAAGGCCAAATTCAAACCTCAAGCCGGCCCAGAAGACAGCCTCGCCCACCGGCCCAGAATGGGCCCGTTAAGAGTTGTACTTATATCTGTAACGATAAGATTCGAGTGGCGGCTAGCAAACGGCTAGATAGCGTGTGCGTGAGAGCTTGCAAGCAGGGTCTCCTTCCTCCTCTCCCCCGAATATTCTCTTGTATTTCGAATTCGCCATGAAATTGGAGATGAAACCTTGAGATGCCCTAACATACACTAGCCGATACTCTCTCTGCAAAGAAGTATAAGAGCAAGTAGTGATATAAACACTCCTAAATTTCTTTACGGAGGGAGACTAACATTGCTTTGTAGCCTTAAAAAAACATTGCTTTGCGTATAATGTTTGCCTTAGTGTAATGCTACTGTTGCCAAGCACCCAACCTTTTTTACGAATCCAAGGACCCAACTAGGACTCTAGGTAAATGAGAATTGGGTAAAACAAAAATTAGGGGACGGTGATGCCGGAGATGAGTTATAGAGTGTATCCGACCAAATCAAGAACACATATAGGAGAGATCGAGTGTTTCTTGTTTCTCGCTTTATATTTTAGAAAACAAAAAGGAGGTGCACCACCATCAACGTGCTCCTCTGCCGTTTATATTGGTCTAATTGCAAAATTTTGCAGCCTTAGATTAGCCATGTAATTTGACATGTTTATCATGTGCTCTTTGCTTGCTAACTTGTACATGTTTATGCCGAGATACTTTTCTTTTACCATTTCAATCGTGTTTAATGAGAAATTTAGGTGTTTCTCCCTCCTTCCCCGTAAAAAAGTGAAGAGTGAACACATTGGATATTTTTGGACAACTGTGATTCCATGGCGGCGGCGGCTGATAGAGCCGGAGATAGAGACGACCCGGTCGATCACTGCAAGGGCGAGCCGGACATGGAGACGATGCGGCTAGCAATGACATCAAAGACTAATTGATGAGGGTGGGGCTGCGGGATCATCGAGGTCGGCAAAGGGGTGTTAGAAGATGAAAGGGACGACACTTGTTTTCCTTTTTGTTGTTGTTGTTGTTGTCTTGTTGAGAAAACGGGACAACAACGGCTTCCTTTTTTTTCGAGACAAAGGACAACAACGACGCTGTTGGGCTCTTGGGCCTTTAGACCATCCGTGCCATTCCTCCGTTGCAGGCCATATATATAATGGTGATCCAACCACGCCGCCCCACTAGGGTTCCACCACAGAGGAAAGGGGATCGGGAGTCAGTTATGCGCCGCCGCCTGCCGTGCGCCCATCTCCACTCTCTCGCCGTCGCCGTCGACGCTGCTGTCGGAGGCCTCGAATGAGGATCGAGTGGTGCTTGAGAAGAGGCGACCAAATAAGCAGCTCCCCCTTTGGGAGCTGCAGTCTCCAATCGAAGCAGCAGCAGCTCCATTCCGAGCTGCAACCAGCAATCAAGCGGCTCCACTCCGAGCCGCAGTCCGCAATCGAAGCGACTCCTTTTTTCAGTCTCAATCCGGATTCAAAGCAGTCCTTTTTGGATTGCAATCAGAAACAGGCCCTGTTTCGAATTCATTATCCGAGTTTCCATTGGTGGTGGGAACCCAGCAGCTATATATATATCTGGCCGGGCGGACACCGCGGTACCCGCCAATCTTCGGAGGAGACCAATTCTTGTCGCGACAACTCGTGAGCCTTCAGCTGCCAAATTCACGGTGACCAATTCTTCTCGGGCCTCGGCGGATCTACGCTGCAGCCATGGGGGTGAGTTCACTGTCCTCTTAATCTCCTATTTTTTTCAGATAAAAACAGTGAATCATGGTGCAAATTCTGCGTCAAATTTGCATCCTTTCTTATCTCTTTTTACTGGATAAAAAACCCAACTTCGAGACCAGTCGTTAGAAATCAACTCTGATTTGTTTCCATGGTAAATGCAGAAGGGCAGTCAAGACGATCGGTTGAGCAAGTTGCCCGATGACATTTTGCTCAACATCGTTGACCGGCTTGGAATTGTCGACATCGCAAGAACCAGCTTCCTGTCCAAAAGGTGGAGGCGGATCCCTGCCATGCTCTCAAAAATCGAAATCGTGGTTGGTTCCTTTCATCTGGGACAAGACAGGTCCAACGTGACGAGTGACGATGTCATTCGTGCCAGTTCCACCACCGTCGAAATAACTAGGAGGATACTGGAAAACAGGCCCCCAAGTATATACACCATTCACCGACTGTCCGTGCAATTATTCTTGGGAGATGATTCCATCTCCATTGGACAGACCGTGGCCAACACTATGGCAACACAAAAGGTTGGTTCGTCCGAGTTCACGATTTTAACGGACAAGGATGGCAGGAAATGCACCTATGATGAAGTGGCTGCCTATGGGAGGCAGCTCAGGTCATTTGTTGATGCTTGCCCGGTCGCGTTTGGTGGCCTCACACGCCTCAAGCTGGAACATTTGACGCTGGCTCAATCAGATTTCCCAGAAATATTTGGCATATGTAAGAGGCTGGAGTTCCTCCACTTGTTCAACTGCGACGTGGAGATTTCGTCTTCTCTACAAGTGGAACATCCTCAACTCAGCCAACTTGAGATTATCAACTGCAGATTTGAGAATGGTGTTGATCTGAAATGGCTACCAAAGCTTGCACTGCTGACTTTTAAAGGTTGGTTCTCACAGGAGGATCCTTTTTGCGTTGGTCATGCCCCACTGCTCCAGAGTGTGAGCATCACTAATATTGGTCTTTCTTACCACAAGATGCTCAAGTTAAGTGAGATCCTTGGCAAAGCAACCATAAGTGATCTCCATCTCAATTTCAGATGCGAAAAGGTTTGCGATGATAACCTCTTGGTCATGCTAATTTTCCTTGTTCATGTTGTCAAGATGTCTTAAGTTTGCCAAACATATTGTGTTTGTCTTCACCTTGTGCAGATTTGGATTAAACCAGAAGGTCCAAGACAATTGTGGCAGGTGTTTCGTACACTAAAGGTTGTGACTTTGGATAACATTTCTGAAGAATGTGATCTGACTTGGACGTTATTCATTCTCCAAGGCGCACCCTTCCTGAAGGAGCTGTGCATACAGGTAAACTGTTTGTAGCTAATAGTCAAAGCTCTTGTTAAAGTTGCAAAAGGTGATGTTGTCCTGTTTCAAATATGATGCACATAGTTTAGATGCTTGCATGTCTGCCCAAGTTTCTTTCTTGTAACAACCTTGTGTAATGCTATGGTTTTTGCCCAATGGAATGCAGGTGTGGGACAATGTATGCGATATGATGGGAGACGAGGAAGAGAGGAAGAAGCATGCATTTAGCGAGGAGAGGAAGGACAAAGGCACAGAGTGGGAAGGACTGGCATCTGATTTCAAGCACCACAATCTGGCTGTGCTAAGGATTTATGGGTTTCAAGCAGAATGCAAGTTCTTTGAATTTATTAGAAGTGTGATGGAAGCTGCAGTTGATCTCGAAGGCATATACCTGCATAACAGGGTATTGTGTAAAAGGCGCAATATCATGGTTCCAAGCACTTCCAAATATCCGAAAACATATAAACAGAAGATGTCGGTGAGGAACAAAATCTACAAGGGCAATTGCTGGATGGTTGGGATACACTTCCCGGGCTGAAGTGCCGAGGTGCTGCAGGGATGAAGCTTGTTGTTGGTACGCGGCCCTGAAGGGATCAACTTGCTGGGTTGACAACCTGAGGTCACTGCAATAATCAAGTTTGTTGTTAGTATGCTCCCCTTGTCTGAAATCTCTTCCCCGTTGTGCTGTGTTAGCTGATTATCTTGTACTGTACTAGCATTTGTTATCACTTAGAGCAGTGACTGGTGTATTTTGTGATGGAAATTATGTTCACTCCTACTACCATTTGTTGTCACTTGGAGCAATAACTATGGTGGTGTATTTTGAAATGAGAATCTCTGGTAATTTATGCTTCATCCTTATTTGCCTGTAGTTGTGCTGTGTTAGCCGATTATTATCTTGACGGCTAGAGGCATGTGATGGTTATATTCTGTGTTCAGTTTTGCCCCTGCTGGAGTCTACGACCAGGAAGTGTTGGAACATTCTACTGTGCTATTTTGAAACAGAATAGCAACTAAATTTGGGGAGGAGGATTTTGAGTCTCTCATGTTGATGTTGTGCAAATTCGACTTGCAATGTTTTTTTGAGCGCCCCATAAAAAACATCGTTCCTCATTGTGTTGTTAAAAAAAAATTGAATTCCAATTTCGCCCTTAACTGTGTGCTATCACTAGCTGCTAATTCTCCCCTTAAGTTTGTGTCAAGCAGTAACTTCATGCTGAATTGAAAACTGAGGGTATCCATGGACAACATATTAAGAGAGAGCCCACCTGGATTGGGCGGCTTTACCTGATTTGTCAGTTTTTATAAGTTTAGGTTTGGAATTTTCCGCTTTTAGGAAGTTCTAGAAGGTTTTAAAACAGTTTTTTAAGTCATTTTCTCTATCAGTTTATTTTCTGTTTTTTTATCTCTTCCCTATATGTTCTTTTATTTTTATTTTTATTCCTTCTCATTTTACTTTACATTTCTTTCTCTTTTATTTTCTTTAAGAAAATGTTTACAAATTTTAAAAAATGTTATAAAATTAAATATTCCGATTTTTGTAAAAAATTGTAAATGTTCACAAAATTTAAAAGATGTTCAGAATGTATTTTCTATATCACCTTTTAAATTCAAGATTTTTTAAAAAAATCTGTGAACATTTTTTAATTTTGTGAACATTTTTCTGAATTTGTGAAATTTTCTTATTTTGGATTTTTAAAAAAAATTTGAAGTTCAAATATTGCAATAATACTCCCTCCATCCCAAAATAAGTGTCTCAACTTTGTACTAACTTTAGTATAAAATTGTACTCCCTCCGTTCCGAATTACTTGTCGCAGGTATGGATGTACCTAGATGTATTTTAGTTCTAGGTACATCCATTCCTGCGACAAGTAATTTGGAACGGAGGGAGTACTAAGGTTAAGACACTTATTTTGGGACGGAGGGAGTAGATGTTATAAATCTACCGGAACAAATCCATTAACTGGTTTCTTAGATGAAAGCCTGTTCAAAGGAAGCCAACCAAGGAAAACCGCTCGGAAGAAGGCAAGGAGCATTGCATGCAACATCCAGTGGGCTGGCCCAGAAAATATCGTTTGGTGTGAAAGCTCTTCAATTTGACGCAGAATGCGTCAAATAGTAGCTCATTCGATTTTAGAGGTTTTTCGTTGTTAATATTTTTTATTATGCCTGACTCTATTGCTACTTATTCTTTTGCTTTGGTTGGATCCATGACATATGTGCAATATTCTTCTTGTAGTAGTCACCGTCGTATGGCTATGTCATCTGGGTTTTTTTCTTGAGGAAATATCATCCGGGCTATCAATTCACATGACATATGTGAGAATTGATTTGATTGAAAACATTTACATCAACTTTTATTCGAGTGAAACCCATACTTTTATTAACCAAACAAGGTATAATAGCATAGAAATGCGGATCTACTACGGATACCGGGATAGGATAGATGTCTTGGAAACTTTGCTGACAACAAAAAGAGAAACCGCCGTCGACCACTGGTGTGGTCGTGACTCGCCGGATGAAGCGACATATCTCCAGCATCCCATGATTCAAGCCAACTAGGGGTGGATCCAACGTTCCATCGTTGGGTTCAGATGAATCCATTAAATTTTGCTAGCAACATACATGTATGTATGACTTTTTTTGACAATCAATACCATGATATGTTTATAGAGCGAATTGTACATGGTAAAGATACATAAGTTGATTACAGCGATTACGAGATAAAGTCTCAAAGAAACAAGTAAATCTTCGAGATCTTCAAACTCTTTTTTCTTCTATGATATGATCTTGTACATTTCTGAAGGCAATCGCATGAAAACAGCAAAGGTATCAAACCACAGACCTGTAAATACCAACGAGGGTTCTCCCATGGTTTTAATTTAAACCACAATGCCAAGGCTGCGATGTACGCACGCATCCATTAAAGTAATCAACCAACATCGGCAAGAGCACCAACACCGGTATTTCAGGCACAAAAAACCGAACAGCCAGGTCGACATCGCTGGGAGTCGAAAGTATGAATAACCATTGTCAAGGACATAACAACCGGGACAGATATTGCAAGGACAATCCTCCTCGTGGCAACCATGACAAAAAAACCAAAAGCGATCTAGCGAAGCAAGATCTGAAGGACCATACCTAGGCAAACATAATCTTCCAACACCACCATTGACGGCGGGAAGGAGATCTCGTCATCGAACGGAGGAACGAACATTACTTTATTGTAGACAATGCCATCTTCAAAGAAAAAGACAACTACCAAAACCATAAACCAGTCTAATGAAAACACTACTACTATAAAGAACACTCATAGATCAGGTTCCCCACCCCTCCCGACACCGGCGAGGCCGGCCGGAGGAGGGGTAACCGATCTACGGTGGCGGAAAAGGTGGTGCCAACGCCTAGGTTTTTCAGAGAGTCGAGGTCTAATACTAGTCACATGCATACATGTATGTATGACTTAGCCTGACCCCAATAGAAAGTTAATCCTCACCCAAGAGAAACTAATTGGAGGTGCCGTGTGTCGTGGAATTGTCACGTCAGATGTCCTCGTGAAATGACTTAGTTGTGGAGCCATCGCAACTAGGAAGCTTGAAGGGGTTAAACGGGACAAAGGATACGAGAGGGTTTATACTAGTTCGGCCCCTTACGGTGAAGGTAAGGCCTACGTCTAGTTGGGTTGGTATTGATGTTTCGATGACCAGGGAGCGAGATACGCTATGACTGGTTCTTGATGAGTTGTTTCTTGCCCTAAGCCGCCATCAGGTCGTCCCCTTATATACACGGGTTGACGCCCTGCGGCTTACAGAGTCCCGGCCGGCTTATAAACAGTATCCGGCTCGGTGACTAGTTAAATATACCTTATGATACAAGTCATGCCATTATGGCGGTTTATTACAACGGGCCTTAAGTTGCCTGTGGGCCTTAAGCCCTTTATTGAACCGCCATCTTCATGCTTGGCCTTGGGCTTCTTTCTGGAAAACCTTCTTTGCGTAACCCGGACCCTACTGGGCGGCTTACAAATAGTTATATCCCCAACATTAGGCCCCAGATTGATTTGAACCTGTTCATGTCAATCTTAAAATACCTTAAAACATAAATCTTCAGTTTTCTGACTATGCAAAAACTTTAACCCGTCATGACGTCATCATCTGGTTCCGGGTCAAATCACCATGGCGTCATCTTTAATAAAACTCATATTTTATTCCATCGTACCCTTCAACGGATCTCTGCTTTTATTGATTGTTCCGAAAATCGAGGCGTCGGGGCCGCTGGATAGTAATTCTTATCTCCTCGTTTCCCGCGCCGTCTCAGTTATCCTCTCCCTATAAATAGGCGCGACTTAGGTCTTCTCCATTCTCCCCCTTCGGTCGTCTTCTTCCTCTTGCTTCCTCTCGAGCTCCGCCGCCGCCGTCGTCGAACCCCTCGTCTTCACCGACTCAGGCCGCTGCATCAACCTGACTCTAACCAGAAATCGGCGGCGAACCTCCGCAGCTCGTCCAAATCCGTGAGTTCCTCTCCTTCCCTTTCTGTAGATCTGCATTGGAACCCTGTTGAGTTCGTCGGCGTTCATCACCACCCGACGCAAACCCTTGCTAGTTTGCACCTCCAATGCCCTGTTTGGATCATAAAAGCTATGTAGAACTGCTGCGGCACGTGTTTGTGTTGATCCTGCATAGAAACAGATCTCATTTCCCTTGCTTGGAAACCCTCTTCGAGTGCGTGAACTTCCCTGCCCTGCTTTTAGGTCTAGAAAATTTTCCTTTCAGAGCAATAATTTGATCCAGAGTAATAGCCGTTGTTTGTGAAACTTGTTTCTATCACCCGGAAGGCTTCTTCTGGTAAATTCCTTTAAACACAACTGCCCAGGTGTCCGGTTTAAATAAGTGATACTGATTTGTAAGCCTTGCTTGCTTCTCATGATTATAAGAATTTTTGAACTGCTCTGGATACTCGTAGCGGCTTAAGTATTGTTGCACAGTCATCCTTATGTCATTAGGCCCCTTCATAAGCCGCTACCTTAAACAATTGGGATATGTCTCCCGGTTTAAAATTTGAACCGGAACTTCTTATTTTGTCATAGGCCAACTGTCATCATGGCTCCTAAGGCGGCCAAGGCCCCCCTGACCTGCAATTGGGTCCCATCTGTAGTCACCAAAAGTAAACTGGTTGAGTTCGTGAAGTCTGGCCACCTGCCAAAAAAGGAGGTCATGTCTTATCGCGCTCCTGACCTGTCTGAAGAGAAGCCTCAACCCAAAGAAGGGGAGGTCGTAGTTTTCACAGATCACATGAACCGGGGATTTGCCCCTCCCGGCTCAAAATTCTTCAGGGAAGTTCTAAATTTCTTTGATCTTATACCTCAAGACATTGGACCCAATTCCGTGTCAAACCTTTGCAATTTCCAAGTCTTCTGTGAGGTGTACCTGGGAGAGGAGCCAAGTCTGCTGTTGTTCAGAGAACTTTTTTACTTGAACCGGCAGAATGAACGTGCCAACGGGCCTAGTCTTGAGCTTGGCGGCATCTCAATCCAGCGG